AAGAAAAAGAAAAAGAAAAAGAAAAAGAAAAAGAAAAAGAAAAAGAAAAAGAAAAAGAAAAAGAAAAAGAAAAAGAAAAAGAAAAAGAAAAAGAAGAAAAAGAAATGCCAGTTTATTATTTTATCCCAGATTGTCAGCTTACTCATTTATATTTGTAGGTGACCAGTGAGCCAAAAAAAAAAAAAAGAGCAAAAGCAGTTTACTGGTTTCTTTTTTGCTTGTTTGCTTGTTTCTTTTACAAATTTTCACCACCTTCCTACACTTTCTGAACTCTCAGTCACCTCTGTGTGACTACAGATACAGAACACAAATTATCTGGTGTCTTCATCTTCCTTTCAGTCTATTTCTCTAGAGTCCATGATGGACAAGGTCCAGGCTAAAATTTGCCAGTTCTTTTACATGCTATTTGTTAGGCCTGAAAATGTCCAGCTGGAATTGCTCATCACACTCTACAGAATTTGAGTTTTCATAGGAAATGAAAGCAACTCTGCTGGGACTGCAAAAGGAAAATAAACAAATGCTCTCAAGTAATGTTTTCTGGGTTCATCTTTGTTAGTTTACGCTAAAAGATTAGTCCACAAAGTGAATATGATGATAGACTTAAAAGGTACAATTCTTCCACCCCAAAACAAACAAACTATTTCACCTCTTATCTTACATCATCTATTACAGTTTTGCATTAAGTAATTACTATTTCTATCATCAGAGCTATGTTTTAGTCACTGTCTAAAGCAAAATGACTAAATTGGATGGGATTTAGTGCAGTGTTTTTAAATTTCTGAATCACAGAATAACAGTTTCTGTATCACGAACTAACCAAACTATAAAACAGAAAGTCCACATTGAGGCACCATGATGGAAATCTATTGTGATCTCCTCATTTTAAAGCCATTACATAGTAAAAACACTCCCAATATGCTATGCTGAATGTTCAGTGTGTGTCAGATCCAGTGGAAAGGGATTTTTTTCCTTGGCAACAAATATGTATCAGAGTGACTGCAATGCTATTTCTAGAATTTAGTTTGTATCACTGAAAAAAGAGGTGGTATTTTTAACAACTTGGTATCACTTTTAGATGCCAGGTAACAATATTTAATAGGTCAAGTTGATCTTAGTTTTACTTTTTTTTTTTTTGTCTTCAAGTTTGTAAGATGGTAGATTCTCTGACTTCCCTTCGTATTCAGGCAAGACTGAAATCCGGCAATAAATGAATATGCCAAGCATTTCTTTATTATACCTCATTTTTT